TAATAAAACTATCTTGAACCCATCATAATTATAACGTATAACTTTCTTAATAATAAACTTAACTTGATCCACTATCTTCTCTTATAACTGTAAGAAGAGACCTGCTAAAAGATCTTCTGCTATATAAATACTGTTAAAAGAACTGGAATAACAATAGTGAAAATTAACATTTTTGTTTATATAATAACTAACAATTATACATGCAATTTTATTAATAAAATATAATAAAAATTAAAATTTTTACCTTACATTATAATAAAATCATAATATATATTTTAATATATATTTTTCTGGATTTTTAGATTTAATCTGATAAAGTTAAAAATTTTATAATTAAATATAAAATTAATTACAAAAAGATTTTTGCAATAACTTTATTAAATTAAATTTTTATTTTGATATAAAAATAAAAAATAAGCAAAACTCAATTGATAAAATAATATACGATCCATGTGATATGAATTAAGCGCAGACATAAGTAGGACCTACTATAATTCAGAGGAGATAAAAACCCGTACAATTATATAGAGAAACCCTTTATACGTATGGAATTTTTTATGATTCTTGTAATAAAAAAACCGTTGCTTTTGTCTTTCGAAAATTCCGCGATTTTGCAATTACGTAACTGAGTTGGATATTTTGAATCATCAGGAGTTTGGACCATCAGGATTTTGAACATTCGGAATTTTGAATGTCAGGAATTTTGAATCTTTGGGATTTTGAATGTCGGGGATGTGGATCGACGGGTTTGTGATCTGTCGGAATTCTATGATGTCAGGATTAAGTTGTCGGGGTTATGGATGTCGGGATTATGCCTATCGGGATATTTGGGGGATCCCCTGTTATTTAGCATCCCATCATACAAAATGGTATGAATCCCGACTTTCTTGACAAGAAAATATTATACGCCCTTTTTCTTTTCAGAATTAGCTACTCGAAGCTTCCACACTCTTTCTTTCAGCTCTAGACACGTCCAGCGACCCTTTTTATCTAAGAAACAAAGTTTTGCCCAAGAAACGAGAGTTTGCTGTTTCTATAACTTTACCCAAGAAACAAGTTTCACTTAAACAAGAGTTTGTTGTTGCTAATCTTTTGCTATTCCTTTTGCAAAATCCGAATCTTTGATTATCAATTGTTCCCGATATTCATGGGTTAATCAGAGTTCCATTTCGCCAAATCCTGTCGCCCAAATGCTGCCAAGATGGGGAGGGGAATCATAAAGCCCTGTTGTTCTAATTCCTTAAGTTCATGGGTATGTTGATCCGAGTTTCACAGTACACGGTGAAGTTTTTTTGCGGAGGAAAAAGTTACTTTTCCACACGGAGGAGTTCGATTTGGATCATCTGAAGATAATTGATGTTTTCTCTGGAATATTAAGTAGTGCTTGATAAATTTTAATTGTTCAGCGTGCATGGGGCAGTCTTTAACTCGTGTGATCAGGATATCCTGAACCCCAGATGGATCAACTATGCTTTGAACTCGTTCACTGTCATAACCCATGATTTGAAAAGCAATCACAGGTTTTAAGTAACGATCCCAATTGTGCTGTTTTTTCACTCTCCGATAGCTAATGACCAAAGGTGTTAGCCAGATAAAAAGAGGCTATTTTATCAAACATAGTGTGATGACAAGCTTGCATTTCAATAATATAGCGGTATCCTCTTCGAGAAGCCACATGAAATTCCATAAAAGCCTGCTTTTCTTACTTCACCGCCACAGCTTAAATGAGGAAGAGCTATAGGAGCTTCCCTGACCTCTCTGATAGGCTCTTCTTGGAAGGAGGGAATACATGTATGCAGAAAGGAAATCAAGATGGAAGGATTGTCTCCAACGGCAAGCATGTGTTGCATTTCTTTGATTGCGCATTTATTAAATGTTTAATTCGTGATCCGTATAAGAATCAGTGAATCTAAATTAATAATAAAAACAATATCGATCCCCGAATTAAATTTAATTTAAAATAATATTTTCAGTTTGTAATAAGAAAATATGTCTAATAGGTATATCTATACAAGGCCTCAAATCGATTTGCTATATATAACGATAATGTTACGCAATTGTATAATAAAAGTACTCGATGTTGCTTTAATATATTCCGAAATACATAAAGACTATGAAACTCGATATAATGGATGGGTTTGAGCAATTAGAAAAATTGCTATATATATCAAGACTTTACTAATAAATCTGTTATTATGTTATGATAAATTCGTACAACCTGATTGGCAAACATCGAACCTATGTAGAATTTTCAAAATTATATTAACTTCTGTATAATCATCGTTATTATTTTACAACGGGAAAATTGACTTAAAAATCTCAACAGGACAGGATCCATTTATAAGACAGAGCTTTAATTTCTTTACTCGAACAGAATAACTTGGGATTATTTGAAATTCATGGTTCCAAATATAGATGTTGAAACATGCTTTATGTTTACGCATATATTTTTCTATAGAGAATATGTTTGGTTCTGTGGAATATAAGTGAGAGCATGGGTAGTAATAGAAGCAATATTCCAGTTACAAATTCTGCATGTTAATTTGAACAACTCGATGATTTAGATAATTGAAAATTTCAAATACTGTAAAAATGGGCATTTACAAGAGTTTATTTTCAATTTTCAAGAGACATAAAAATATATATTAATTATTGTTACGTATGCAGTGTTCTATGCGAATTAATTAATCTGCACTCTATTTAACATTAACATTAAACTCTAAAAAAATGCAAAAATTGTATATTCAAAAGAAAAAACATAAATTACGCAACAACAGTAACAGTCACTGGTTTTGCTGACATTGTAACACTCTTCTTATTACCAGAAGGATCGCGACGGGTTCCGTCACCAGTAAATGTAATCGTGTACGCGTTACCGACTACGTACTTGCTAGAGTCGACAACCCAATCTTTGGACATAACATTTGGATTCTTTGTGTCGAAATCGGTGCTTTTTACTGTGAACACGGTTTCAATTACGTTGCCAGCATCATCGAGGGTTTTTACGTCGCCTGTATCGAATAAGTCTAGTCCGCTTTTTTGAATTTTACATGTGATTTTTGTTGTCGAGCCTGTTCCAACGGAAGTGTTGTCGGATGGTGCAGTTATGCTTAGTTCGTCTGTGGTTTATGAATTTTTTTGTTAATTGAGTAGAAGAAAGAGAATGCAAAAGAAAGGAAAATTCTAATTCTGAATAGAGTTGTAATCACTCACCAGCATTAGTAACGCTCAATACCACCACAACCATCAACAAGAAACTGAAAATTTGTTTGGCATTCATATTTGTTATTATTACTGTTAATAAAAAATCGTGTCTTTTGTTTGTTTTTATCTGTTTTGTCGATTCAGATAATAAAGAAAAAGAATAATATAAATTGTTATAAACTTATAAAGCGTCTTGAGAGAGGAAAGAAGAATGATTCAATGGATTAATAACGAAAAATGTACGTACTGGCTTTTCTTTTTTTAAGTTCAATTATATAAGGAAAAATCAATAATGCTGGCAGTACACAAACAAAAGCACATACATATCGATATATGCGACATGCGAGGTAGATATAATGAAACACAAGGAGAGCAGGCATGAATATTTTGTTTCACGAAGTTTTTTGCTATAGATAGATGGACCAAATGTTGTGTATTGATAAATAAGTAAATAAAATAAATTACGTGTATTCCTTGGAAGAAATTATCAAGACCATAACGATAAACAACGTCTCTAGATAGGAAGAAATATGTATGCATGCTGTACTTTTTGGTAACGGTAGAACAATTAATTTGCAAGCAAAGAAGGGGACTGGCTATTTTTACAATTTCATTTGTTTTGTTTTTGTTTTTAAATTAAAAATATATACTGGGATTAATAAATTTTATTAATAATACATGTATATCTAATTGTCGTCCTTTCATACACCATGAAGACCATATGGGATAACTTTTCCATACTCAATTCAACTCTCGCAATCTCGTTAAAAAACCTTGCATCCAACACCAACAAGAAACCTGTACCTTTTGTACCATATAGCACGACACTTAGCACTACTTCATATCTTCTTCGATTGCGTTGGATAAAGATTAGCTCGCTAGGAGTGCATGACCATTCATTGTTCCCACTTTTGTATGAAAATAATCCGTCGGGTTTTCGATCGAGATCGAGCTTTAGTATTGCGTCTAGGAATCGGCTATTGGATTTAGAAGTGTTTCCGCCTGGAATTTAGAATTTGAATATTAGAGTCATTTTCTTCGGAAAATCTTAGTTGCTGATATCTCTTAAAACATACCATAAACGAACCGATGTTTCTTTAAATGTAATTTTGAATAATCAATCCGATATTCAATTCCGAAGGAACTTGAAACACTGTTTCAGCAGACGGTAATTTTTTCGGATGTTCGCTAGCAGCAACTGACGTTAATTTTTCTGATACTTTAGGAAGTCGATATCGAGTTAATCTACTCTTCGATATTGACAATTCTTCATTGGCCTTTAATTCATCTAATAACACTGGTAATGCAAGTTCTTCAACGATACTATTATCTTAATATTGTATCAAGTCTAACACGATGTCATCGTTTTTCGTCCCAAGCGTTTAATGTATGGAAACGAAGTAAATGTCACGTGTTTTTGCTGGTCTCTGTCGATTACGTAGTACATGTATATATCATGAGGTTTTGTTCCGGGAGCGAAATGTCACGTGTTAATGTTATGTTAGTGTTTGTTTGTCTGGTGGTGTTGGAGATTACTTGAAATGATGTAAAAACTGATTTTTAAAAAATAAGATGTTAATTATCTGTGCGAAAGTATTATCTAGCTTCCGTTCATTTTCCGCGATCGCTTTTTCAATAACAGTTGCAATATTTACGACTACCAATAATTTTATCGATCGAGTATATATCGGTATAATTCGAGTTATTTAGTTAACATATGTATCTTGAGCAAGCCCATCAAACCGATTGTGAAATTTAAACACGGATTTATTTTCTCGAGAGGGATTTTGAACGTTCTATAAGAAATAAAATACTTTTGGAAATGATGTTAGTAATAGTAAATAGTAATTTTTTACCCTGGTCCATTACGATGCAATACACCCGCCATCCATTTCGGAATGTTTCCTTTACCTGGACTTTAGGGTTATTTGAAAACCTACATATTTATAATTGAGCTTAATTGTATTTAGTCTTATTTACATCAAGAACAATATGTTTGTTTTTTTATATTGTAATACCTTTCTCAAACACCCTTCGTTCATCGGATTGAATTTCAGCTTTCGTTGCCATATTTCGAATATTCAAAAAAAAAGAAAATCTTGAAACTCTGTTGTAATTCATTCGAATTGGAATTCTAAGCAAAAGTTTTTTTTTGCGAAAGATAGGTTATTAAATATCGAAATTTGTGTCACTTCCAGGCAGTTTTCAAATAGCCAGGAAAGAATTCAGTTTCAACAGTGGTTTTCTGATTGCTTCCAAAGTTTTCTTTTCTGGTCATTAACGATTTTCGTTTCTATGACCAAACAAATATTTTTTCATTGGATTCTATTTACGTAGTAAACAATATCGTTGCATAATCACCATTTTTCACAATGAGGCTGGAAAACTGGAAGACATACGTTCTTATGATTCAACCGCCTGAAATTTTACTTCGGCATTTATGTTAAACCGATGATATATTTCCAATGTAATTCAGCTTTTTTTGCTATTTAGCGTTATCTACACCTTTTTTGATAATAGGTATGATACTCACCAGCCATCCCATTTAGCAATAGAAATATGTTATCATCCGACAATTCATTATACGTAGTAAATCATTTGCGAAATATATTTTGACAATAGATTAATAGTAATACCGATATCCTTGAAGAATCAACTTCCATTAGACGACTCAGATCTTTATTATATTCGCGGTAAGGATAGTATGCAAGGCAATCGAATTATTCCTAAAAACCTCTAACAAAACGAAAAATCCCGAATTTGTGAATTAGTGTAACATGATTGGTTCAATAATCGACCTATAAAAATTTCGCTATTTAATTTAGTAATAAATTATATTTAAGTCTCGTATTTTGAGTCACATTATATATATTAGCAGAAAACGAGTGTAATATTTATCTCACGAATTCATCTAATATTTGATGTACACCTTTTTGTTAAAAAATTAAGGTTTAGATATAGCAGCGCTCCAAAGAATAAGGCGAATCAATGTTTCTATCGCAAAATTTTATCAATTTAATGGTATACTGCTTAAAGTACCCTTAATTTAGTCCAACTTAAATTAATTGAGTGACAAAATTTTCATAAAAAAAGAATATTTAATATGGTGCAGAACTCATCGCGGGAAAATTTTAGAAATAAGTTTTTATTGGATGAAATTTCTACTTGTTCATACAGTAGCGGCCATAAGTATCCGAACGCCCGGCACTGCCCAAAATTATACTACGTATAAAGATCACCCAAATTTTCTAGGGTAAGCTTCTATATTGTATGTTCATACTCCAAATACAATAAATCGGTCACTTTAGGACATAATAGCTCGACGTCCAGCGACCCGATTTGAGCGAAAATACTACCATTCAATTTGTCTCATCTAGGCAAATCAAACAGTGAAATTTTCGCTCAAATTGGGTCACTGGATGTCGAGATATTACGTCCTAAATTGGCTGATTCATTTTATTAATGTCAAAAAAATGAATTGGTTTACTTTAGGACGCAATATTTCGACGTCTAGTGATCCGATTTGAGCGAAAATACTACCATCCGATTCGCCTAATCGAGACAAATCGGATCATTGGATGTCAAGAATTAGATTATTGGATATTGAGATGTACGTTATGAAAGGACTGAAAGTTTATGAACATACAATATCCGATATACGTATAAAGATTCTATTCCAACTTATGACATATAAAGATTTTTGGTTATACTGGACTGGGCTTTTTTTTCCTATAGCCCATTTTTACTCTGAAAGATAACACAGATGAAAATTAACTTTGGTTTGTATACTCGATGGAATTTTGGATTCAGTAATCGTGGTGACTACTTCAAAATGCTATAATGACTTGCTGGTCTTTTTCAATAGTACGACTATCCACCAGACCCAAAAAACCAGGAATTTAAACTCACTAAACTAAATTCCTTTGACCAATTTCTATAGATCAAATGTTAATACTTTTCCGATTATGCGTTGCTGTTGTTGGAATTTTGGTTTTAGATTTTTTATAGGTGATTTCTAACAGTTGTAAAGGGATGAAATAGAACATTTTCTTTCCAGCTGATCATTCAATACATGTATACGACCGGTTTCGCATGCGTTATTAAAAGTAAGTCTTTTACATTATTTTTGTTGATATGGGAGACTGTGGACATACTATTCTTTCGCATCTTTGTTATCTCTTGTTAGAACACTCTTTTTAAATGAAGACATCAAGACATCACATAATTTTGGAAAAAAACAAACTGAATTATTATTTTAAGGTTTTTGTGGAGCTTTTATAATTAATTATAAAAGAGCTAACACGTATTTCGAGATCCAGATTAATAAATTGTTATTATTAATATTACGTATTAAAATATACAAATTTATAAGGTTTTAAATTCTTTGTTGCATTACTTTTGATTGCCACTGTATAGTGTTGGTAATATATCTAATTTTCGTTCTTCCATACACCATGAAAACCATACGGGATAACTTTTCCATATTCAAGTTCAGCTCTCGCAATCTCGTTAAAAGATTTTGCATTCAGCACCAACAAGAGGCTTGTACCTTTTATCCCATCTAGCACGACACTTAGCACTACTCCATCATCTTCTTCGACTGCGTTAGGAGCCGGAATAAAGATCGGTTCGCTAGGAGTGCATGACCATTGTTCCCACTTTTTGTATGAAAATGATCCGTCGGGGTTTCGCTCGAGATCGAGTTTTAGTATTGCGTCTAGAAGCCGGCCATTGGATTTAGAAGTGTTTCCGCCTGGAAATTAGAACTTGAACAATAGAATCATTTTCTTCGGAAAATCTTAGTTGCTGATATCTCTTAAAACATACCATAAACGAACCGATGTTTCTTTAAATGTAATTTTGAATAATCAATCCGATATTCAATTCCGAAGGAACTTGAAACACTGTTTCAGCAGACGGTAATTTTTTCGGATGTTCGCTAGCAGCAACTGACGTTAATTTTTCTGATACTTTAGGAAGTCGATATCGAGTTAATCTACTCTTCGATATTAACAATTCTTCATTGGCCTTTAATTCACCCAATAACACTGGTAATGCAAGTTCTTCAATGATATTATTATCTTCATATTGTATCAAATCTAACATGATGTCATCGTTTTCGTCCCAAGCGTTTAATGTATGGAAACAGAAATACGTTGGAGAAGTATATGTCGCGACGTGTTTTTGCCGGTCTCTGTCGATTACATAGTAGTAAGTAGATTCATTTTTATTCCATGGTTTAAATGCTTTCATGAGGTTTTTGTTCCAGACTACTTTTAGCCCATTCCATCCAAGATCACATTGCCTTTATAATTCAAATTTATAATTTTCAATAAAAAATATGAGAATATATACATAAAGAAAATTAGTTACCACAAAATAAGAATAACGTATTTCTTTGTCAACGAAAAACTATGCAAATAAACACTCTTCGACGCTTCAATTGTAGAAAGAATTTTCGTAATTGGTTTTCCCGTTTCCAGATCTTTACGAATCGAAAAAACCGTATATTTTGTTTTCGGCCCATTCTTTTGTGTAAAACTAATAAATTCTCCGGTCGAGGCATCATATTGTGGATGCGCAGGGGACATTTCTCCATTAAGGCGTGGATCGTATTCCGAAAAGTTGAAAACTTTTATCGGTTCGAGGGTGATTGGATCGAGTGTTTTTAAGATATTAGCGTCCGTCTGGGCTACTAGTTGTCGGTGCGTTTTCGCCGATACTATTGTTAATTGGTTTTCTGGGAGCGGAAGGTCACGTGTCAATGTTATGTTAGTGTTAAGTGAGTGTGGGTTTGAGTCGTCGTCTCTAGTGGTGCCGGAGATTACTTGAAATGATGTAAAAAACTGATTTTTAGGAAATACATAAGATGTTAATTATAAATTTCAATTGAACAAATAAACATAAATAAATAAAAATACCTTATGAAACAAGTTCTCACATAGATCTTGTGCAAAAGTAATATCGGGATTCCTTCCATTTTCCGCGATCGCTTTTTCAATAGCAGTTGCAATACTACGACTACGATACGTGACCTTGCCATCACGGATTTCAAATCGATGTACTACCAATAATTTTATCGATCAAGTATATAACTCGAATTATTTCGTTATATGTATGTAATGTACCTTGAGCAAGCCCATCAAACCAATGATGAAATTTAAACACGGATTTATTTTTCTCGACGGGGATTTCGAACGTTCTAGAAGAAATAGAGAAATTTTTAGAAAGTGATGTTAGCAATGATAATTTATTTTTTTGGATTTCTTACCCTGGTCCATTACGATGTAATACACCTTCCACCCATTTCGGAATGTTTCCTTTTACTTGGAGTTCGACAGGTTCTGGAGTTTCAGGGTTATTTTGAAAACCTACATATTTATAATTGTGTTTAGTCTTATTTACATCAAGAAAAATATGTTCATTTTTTCTATGTTGTAATACCTTTCTCAAACACCCATCGTTCATCAGATTGAATTTCAGCTTTCGTTGCCATATTTCGAGTATTCAAAAAAAAAGAAAATTTTGTTAAAATTTTAATTTGTTTGTTGTAATTTATTCGAATAAGTAACGGTAACGGTAAGTGATGATTCATAAACGAATTGAATTCTGAGCAAAATTTTCTTTTGGCGAACGATGGGTTATTAAATATCGAAATTGGTGTCGCTTCTATATAGTTAAAAGAATTCCTTGTCTGGTAATTTTGTGGTCATCGACATTTATGTTAAACCGATATTATATGCACCTTTTTTTTGATAGCGGATAACGATAACAATTATCCGACAATTCATTTTAGTGAATAATTTGCAAAATACCGATACATTTTGATTTTAATAACAATGGTAATACGATATCCTCGAAGAATCACGACTACGAAATCCGTGAAAATCACGGATTATTAATTTGATTCCCTAAAACCTTAACAATCGATATACAGTGACTCTCACAAGAAATGGAACACGCGATCAAAACTTCCTGGAATTTTTATCTTCGTCAATATCATCCCAAACAAAATAAAAAAGTACTCATTTTGAATTACAAGGACTCTAGTATTTTTTAAATTTATTTTGACAACAGATTATTTTAGTCAATTTTATAAAACTGGGTAATTTAAATAAAATTTTCAATTAGTAAATTTCTCACATTGAAGAACTTTTTTTCTATGACGGATTCAAATTTGGACCACGAATTAAAAAT